GACTGAAAAGTAACTCAGCCCGACTCAGACAACTTACTGGGGTTATATTCGTAAAAATGTCTTCTGTTTTTTTGTTTGGTCACAGAGGACTATATTGTAATTTCATAGCCCTTTTAGGTTAGATTTGCATTTGATTCAAGTTGGGGTCTAGTATTGGGGTTAAAACCAAGTTGTGGGTTAGTATTGGCAAAAACCCCTATAAAATTTTACCAAAAATATAAATACCATTAAATGTAATATATGAGTTATTGATTATTTTATAAAGTTTACCAAAAATATATATCATCATTAAATGTAATTGTTCATGTCAAACCATAAGCCATGTCATATTTCTTATATGACATGTCCTATTAATTTAGTGAAAGTGATTGCAGAGACGATATGTGTCAAAATCACTTCGCAAATAATATATAAGGATTTGAATTAGTAGTTAAGCTCTAAAAATTAAAATGTAAATTTTTACCAACTTATTTTCTATGCTATTTTCTCCCAATATAGAAGGGAGTAATATGTAAAATACAAATTTTAGAGAAATATCAAGAGAAATTGCCTCTATTACCCTCACATCTAATTTAAAAAGTTATAATATCCACTCTCTAAAATGAATTACATTTTCATTTATTTTTAATTTTTAAAATTAACGAATTATATTTTTACCCTTAACCCTAATTTGTTATATCTGTCAAACAAATCATTTTTTTATTTCTCCTCATTCTTTATTCTTTCTCTCTCTCCCGTTTTCTCTCTTCTCTTCATTCTCATTATTTCTTTTCTTCTATGATTTTTCTCTTCAATCTCCCTTATTCACGATTATTAAACAACACAACCTCAATAATCAAAGGATAAACATCGATGACTCCATCTGAAGTAACAATGGTAATGCATCAGTCACCAATGCATGATAGATCCAAAAAACGACATCGACAGAGAATTATGGATTGCTATTCGATTTAGGGTTAGATTTGTGCTTTTATTTTTTAATATTTTGTATTTACATGTTTTATTGGATTTCGACTACAGGTCTAAACAAATAAGTGTTGTGGATTTTAGATCCAGAACTAGGGTTATGTTTTTATGCCTTCTGAATTTTGGATCTATGAATTTTGTGTTTGGTATAACATTGTATCTGGTGGAACTGCAAATTCTAGATATATGATTGTTTATATTTTTCAGATCTGAAATTGAGTAGAATTTGGAATAATAACTCACAGAACTAGGTATAACTACTTCGATAAAACTAGTATAATTCGGTATAATTACCTCAGCACAACTAGTAATATTCAGTATGACTAACGCCAGTAAAACTAGTCAAACTCGGTACAATTACCTCGGTAAAACTAGTATAACTCAGCAGAACTATCTTAGTATAACTAGTAGAACTTGGTATAACTATCTAGGCCTGGGCATTTTACCCGGACCCGAAGACTCGAACCGGAACCGACCCGAAAATACCCGATCTGAACCCGACCCGAAAATTTACAAGTACCTATTGGGTCTAAATTTCTTTTACCCGAATAGACCCGGACCCGAAAAGAACCGACCCGAATAGCCTCGGACCCGAAAAGAACCAACCCGAATAGATCCGACCCGATAAAAATCGATTTGTACCCGACTTATAAACATGTATATCCAAAACTATTATTTTGTGTTATGTTTTATATATCTATACTATTTTATAATTTAGTTGAAATATCTTTTGTTAACAATATTTATTATTATTTATAACATTTTTAAGTAATATAAAGTTTTAAAATGTAAAATTTAGAGTTTAAAAATGTTTTCTTTAATTATTAATAATTTAATTTAAGTTATTTTATAAAATTTTAGATATATAGGAAAAATATTGACTAAATTTGAGTGAGTTTGGGCATGTTATGTATTTTTTAGATTCTAAATACCCGGACCCGATCCGGACCCGATATGGATCCGAAAATTACAGGTATTTTACAGGTATTGAAATTATAGACCCGAACCGACCCGGACCCGGAAAGACCCGACCCGGAACCGACCCGAAAAATTATAGGTACCCATATGGGTCTAAATTTCCAAGACCCGAAAGACCCGGACCCGATAGGAACCGACCCGAACCCGACCCGAGGACCCGGATGCCCAGACCTATAACTATCTAAATAAAACTAGTATAACTCAGTACAACTACCTAAGTAGAACTAATATAACTCAATACAATTACATCGGTAGAACTAGTATACCAGTTATACATCGATAAATTAAAATTTTAAATTTTTTTTAAAAAAAAAACTGAAATTAAAAAAATTCCAAAATTTGAATATTTAAATTTTATAAGTTTTAATAAATATTAATATGAAAAATAAAAAGGGTAAATAGGGTTTCTATGTTTTCATTAAAATGTGAAGGGTATTAAGATTAGTGTAGGACATAGTGGATTTTTTTTTTTTGGTATAAGGATATATGAGATAATTGCTCAAATATCAAAGACTTGTCGTTTCCACTCCCAAATCTGTAGCAGAACCCTTAAACCTTATCCCCATTTCAAAAAAAAAAACCTCAAAGGAAGCTAAAGAAGCCATGTCTGCCTCCGTTTCCCTCTCTTCCTTCAATCCCAAATCCCTTCCTCTCTGCTTCTCCAGGTCCGCTTCCCTCTCCGTCTTACCTCCTTCCCTCTCCTTCAAACTCCACTCCCTCTCTCTCTTCGCTTCCTCCCCCCTGAAATGCTCCTCCCCGTCTCGTTTCATCAGAAACGTCGCCGTATCCTCAGATTTCGAGGTGGAGGAGGACGACATGTTCGCTGACGATGACTCGCCGCCGCAGGAGCGCAGCTCCTTCTCTGCTGACCTCAAACTATTCGTCGGTAACCTTTCTTTCAATGTCGATAGCGCACAGCTCGCTCAACTGTTTGAGAGCGCAGGCAACGTTGAGATGGTTGAGGTATAAGATTGGCTAACTCTCTTGCTAAAGTTTGATGCTTTATAGTTACCCATTAGCTTCTTGAAAATGGGTGTTCTGAGTCTTTTTGATGATATGATGTTTGATTGGTGATGAAATAGGTTATCTATGACAAAGTGACTGGTAGAAGCAGAGGTTTTGGGTTTGTGACTATGTCCTCTGCAGCTGAAGTTGAAGCTGCTGCTCAACAGTTTAATGGCTATGTAAGGATATAACCCTTCTTCTTTATTGTATCTTTGTCTGTGTCTGTTCTTGTTCCTGGCTTGTGTGTTATGTTATTTGTGTCTGAGCTTTCTCTGTTACTTGGATTTTATCAAATGCTGATTCTAATGTTACTTCTAGGGCCGTTCTCGTTTAATGGCTATTTAAGAAGATTACTCGTCTCTTTGCTTGTTCATATTCAGTATCTTTAGGTCTGTGTATGTTCTTGTTATTGTCTTTTGTGTAATGTTATTTGGTGTCTAAGCTTTCTTGTTATGATATGCTGTTTATCCTCTAATTGGTTTGTGTAGACCTCGTAGTTGTATACTGCCTATGAGATGCATTTTCTTACTTAACGAAAACTTTGAGACTTCTAGGGTCGTTCTTGTTTCTCATTTGGGGATATGAGTTGCTTAGTGGAACCTTTTTTTTTTTGCAGTATGGGGTTGTTGTTTATATCTTGCAAGGTGATCTTTTTTAGATTTTGTGCGTTGTAGCTGTTTTTGTTAATCATGTCGACATGACCATTACAGGAATTTGAAGGCAGACCTTTGAGGGTTAACGCTGGCCCTCCTCCACCTAAGAGAGAGGAATCATTCTCCAGAGGACCAAGAAGTGGTGGCTATGGTTCAGAACGTTCCAGCTACGGTTCTGAACGTTCTGGTTACGGGTCTCAACGTTCAGGACGTTCTGGTTACGGTTCTGAGCGCTCAAGCTACGGTTCTGGGTCAAGTTCGGGATCTGGTTCATCAGACCGTGTTTATGTGGGTAACCTTTCATGGGGTGTGGATGACATGGCTCTTGAGAGCTTGTTTAGTGAGCAAGGAAAGGTTGTTGAGGCCAGGGTCATTTACGACAGGGACACTGGTCGATCAAAGGGTTTTGGGTTTGTGACACTCGGCTCTCCACAAGACGTCACAAAAGCCATCAATTCTTTGAATGGAGCAGTAAGTATTATTATCAGTTTTCTTCGCATCAGTTTCTATTGTTCTATGGTTTCTAGTATAGTGCAAGCAAACTCTCTGATACTTATTTTTGTTTATTTGTAGGATTTGGATGGAAGACAGATTAGAGTCTCGGAGGCTGAGGCTAGGCCACCAAGGCGTCAATTTTGAGCGACCATGCCACTTCATTGGTCTAAAAGACATGCAGATTCTGGAGGTGTAGCGCATCTTTACTGACGAACAAGCTGTTTATGTATTGAGTTTTAATCTTTGAATGTTTTACCTTTCTTTGCAGACTACTTAGGGTTTTTGACTTTGTTTCTTTTTATTCTACTTTTTTGCTTATGCTGAGAACTAAAGAAAAACTATGAGCACAGCCCACGAACCGTGTGCAAATGCACTGTCAGCAATTTATTCTTTTAAAGTAAAAATTTTCAAAATATAGGACAAAGATACAGAAAGAATATAAATGGACCGGTTTAAATGCTATTGTATAGGCAAAAGTATCAATATGTTTTCCTAAAACCTTAGTTTTCTCTTGTAATCACTAATCAGTTACTGACCGGTTCCCATATGGACCCAATTGGAAAATTAGAGATCAGTAAATACAATACTGTATGGTTCGGTTTAACACTTCCTATACACTAGGTAATAATTTGTACCTTGTGCGAAGTGAAATTATTAATTTCATTATTTTTTAAGATCAAAATATATTATGTCTGTTTAATTTTGATATCGATTCGGTTTTAGATTAGTTTAGTTTTAATCTATTAAAATATAACTGAATATTTATTTTGTTTATTTGGTTAAAATATTTGAGATTTTTAGACTTTTCAGTGATATAACCAAAAACTATTATTATTTGTTTGGTTTCATGTTATATGAATTTTAGACAATTCTGATGTCAAACTAATGTTTACATATTATAACTTCTAATGACATGAAAAATCAAATCAAATTTAGATAATAACTGAAGAAAAAATAATTATTAAGATAAATTATTTCATTACAATTTGATTGATGGTGAATGGAAACATTAAAAAGGAATATTTTCGTTTCCAAGAGAATTAAAATCCTTACTTATAGTGAATATTTAGTTATATAGGTACTCACGTCAATGTGCACATATATGTATGGCTATGTAAAATATCCATAAATTTTGATTTGATTCGTCATCTTTTTCGATGCGAATAAAAAAAAGTAGATATCTATAACTCTATGAAGAAAAAAAATAAAAATATGCAGTTCTGTAAAAATGAAACATAACACAAATATTAATATTTTAAAAATGGATATTCCAATCTGATCTGTTATATGCTTATATATATAATTTAATGGAGTATATATATATAAGTTATATAAATAATATATTATATATGATTTTACAACCTTTCTATTTTACTAAATTTATTAAATTAGGTATTAGTATTCAAAAAGTAAATAATTTTTTTATAATAAAATTTTATTATTTTAGATTTTTTTTATTTAGTTTAATTTCTTGATTTATTTTAAGGATCGAAAGTGGTTAAAATATATTTTTTTGCGGGATATTGTATATCTGAATGACTACGAATTGAATAGAATCAGATAACTAATTATTCAGACGAAACATATTGGATAACATATACCTCTCAAATCTCAGATTTGTGGCCACTCTTGCATGTATGTATATGTAAAAAAAAATAAAGGTGGTTGATAATATATAAAGATAACGTAATTAACACTAAAAGAAATTTTTCTTCAAAATAACACATAGAATATAATATTCTAATTAAAATAAATTAAGTAAAAATAAAATAAGTCTAGATAATAATGAATATTTTGTAAATAGTCTTTCTATGTAGAATTTTTGTATAACTCGTAGAACAGTGTATGTAAATTTTATATTGAAAAAAGAATTGTGAAATAATATATAGTGTGAACATATTTATGTAGAGTTTAGCTGAAAAACTCTTTGTACGTGACAAGTTAGCATATTCATTCTCAAATGTGAATATATTCAATAAATGGACCTAATCAATAGTACACACTATAACCTCTTTAAATTAATATTCTATAAATTAATATACATTAAAAAATTTATAAAATAAAATAATTTTATAATACTAAATTAAATTTTTGGTTTAATTAGTATATTAATAAATTAATATTTTTTATAAATTAATAAAAAATATTATAATTTTACCGTAGTCATAATATTATTAATTTATATAGATTTTACTGTAGATTACTTTTTCTAAAGATTGGCCGTTTGCGCCATGGACAAAACTGATAGTAGCCCCATTCGAGTGTGACACAGATACTGATACCATTACCACTGGTAAACAACTCGAAGGATTGGACCGAAGGTGTAACCACAATAACATAAGGAAATTTTAATTAGTACAGTACTGTATAATATTTTCTTTTTGTCAGCTCCCATTAGGTTTCACCAAATTTTGGTCACACCATCCGTCTGTATTTGTATATGATATTCCCTATATATTATTTGGAGATCATTTAAAAAATTATAATCTTAATTTTGTATTAATTTAAAATAACTCTAATCTTATGTGACATATCTTTTGCTTTCTAAATTCTATTTAACACAATTCTAGAGCACTTTACATATATCATAGTTTAAACATATATTTACTTAAAAGATGTTGGTCACATATCTTATTAATATTGAAAATTTATTATTCATTTTTTCCTTAAATAAAAATTATGGAATTTTACCTAATGCGATTAAAAGATATATGACAATTAATAATTTCAATAATAAAGATTTGCTAACAGTTTGTATATCCTCTACCATATTTGTTTAAATATTTGTTATTAAAATTGTTTACACAAATATACATTAATTATATAATAAAAAATTATATTTTCGTATATATTGTATTTTGAATTTTTTTTAAACGGGTATAAATGACTAAATTGTTAAATACCTCAAATAAACTTTTTGTGATCAATGATTTAAATTTTTACTATAGTAAGATACAAATAATTATAAAATACATGAGTAAGACGTCTTTTTTTTTTTTTTTTTTTTACAACGAACGGCTGATCTATTACTCAAGCTTGAGGTGGTCTGGAAATCCAGACCGGAATAGAACAACCAACAAACATGAGTTCCCGATAAAAGGATCGGGCAGTCTTAGCTAGATGATCAGACACAACATTTAAAGATCGAGGTACATAAGATATCTTAAAATCTGGGAAGCAAATCCTCAGCGTCAAGATCCTCTCTAATTCTGTTGAAAAGCTTGGCCATCCCTGGGGATCCTTGAGCATTGCTAACAATTCCTTGCAATCCGTCCCAAAGCTCTGACATGGCGAATGTTGAAGCATGTTCTTCATTGCCCACCGCAGCGCTTCCAGCTCCGAATGCAACGCCGACTCCATTCTACTCACATTCTGCATCCCCATTAACTGGCTTCCACCCATGCTATCCTTCCAATCCCAACCACAGCCGGAAAATTGATCGGCAGAGGTCCAGGAACCATCTATCATGCAAATATCACCGAGGCTTATGGCCTGCGGGTCTGTGTTACCATCCTCTTGTGTAGTCTCAACCCCCTGCTCATTTGCTTGGAACCAGGCAAGACACTCGCTCTCAGCATATCGTGCCAACTCCAACGGGTCTCTATCTATTCCTCTGAACAACTTGTCATTTCGAGCCTTCCAAATGTACCATATTAGCCAAGGATAAGGATCCTTGTCTAAATCTGGCCCACATATGGCTTTCTTCCGCCAGAATAGATAATCCATATTCGCATATGTGCTTTCCAAGGGAAACAAAGCCGGGCTGGAGGGTATAGATGATAAGGCCCATACCTGTAAAGCCGGTGGGCATTGGAAAATTGCATGTGCAATTGTTTCATCCGGTTCCCCGCACTGTGGGCAGAAGTTATCACATCTCATATGTCTATGATTCAAAGCGCTCGTAACCGCCACCTGTCCCGAAATGATCTGCCACATAAGATGACACATCTTCGGGGGTGCCTTAACTTTCCAAACTTGTGCTTGAAGCCTTTTAAAGCTAGGTTCCTCTACCAAATTCTCCTCCTCTTTCATCAGTACATTACGAGCTACCCAATAGCCGGACTTGACTGTGTATTGCCCACTCCTAGTATAACTCCAGCAGAATGTATCTCTACGATGGGTTGAACTGATTTCCATACTCCTTATGAGAGATATATCATCAGTGTCAACATATAGTGCTAGCCGATCCAGGTCCCATGACTTTGATCCTTGATTGATAAGATCGCTTACTCTCATATTTGGGTGCAACACCGGAGCTGATGCATGCGCTGGTCTTGCGGGGATAGTGGGAATCCACGGGTCCTCCCATACCTTAACTTCATACCCTGAATGGATTTTGTGTCTAATCCCCAATAGCAATAACTCCCGTGCAGCCGAGATGCTTGTTCACACATACGAAAGACTACTGACAGTGTGTTTTCGCAAAGGCGAACTTTGTCTATAATATCTCCCTCTCATAACACGAGCAACCAGTGAATCCGGATTTTGTGACAGCCTCCATAGCTGCTTACCTAGCAATGCCAGGGTAAACTCATGTTTATATGTTTAATATGTTTAACATATATATATAATTTAAATTAAATATGTTTAATATGTCTATATTAATACATATATATATAATTTAAATTAAATTATATACCATATGAAATGCATACTTATATTTTGATATTTTCATTGAAAAATATTGAGAATTTGATATTTTAATTTTAAAATATTGAGAATTTGATATTTTAATTTTAAAATTTGCATTCAATTTTTAATAGTTCAAAATTTTGTTATAAAAATATATTGATAATCATAAAACCTTATAATGAGAAAATTCATTTTCTAAACATCCGTATTAAAAATATATTATAGATATTGTTAATGTCATTTGAATTTAATTGTATCTAATATATGATGGATAAAATTAACTGTGTTGATTTATTTACCATAAAATGATTGTTAATAAATAAGAATAATCGTTTGATCTAAATGCACACACCAAATCCCTTATATATTAATTGAGGATCATTTAAAAAGTTATAATCTTAAGTTTGTACTAATTAAAAAAATCTTATCTTATGTGGCATTTCTCTATAAAATTCTACTTAGAAGAATTTTAGAGCACCTCATATAAAATATAGTTTTAAAACAAAGTCTGT